TCAATGCCATCTTGAGCTCTGGGCAACGCTAACGATGTTCCCACTTACACGGATGAGATTGTAAATGACACACGGAGCAAGTGAGCTTTTTGGATACTGTCTTCACTTTAAGGCATTCTGTATTTGCCTTGTTTGCTTCGTCAGATTTTGAAGTTCCCGTGAGAGTCTGGTATCTCTTCATGTAATACTTCTCTTGGTACAAGTGACTATATTGGGAAGAGCTCTTCCATAGGCTTGGTCTGTGCTCTGATTGCAGTCACCTTATTTGGGCCAACCCAATTACAAATCAGAGCCTGGGAAGCATGAATCTTTAGGGCTATTGAACTATAGGATTATAAGAGTGGATTGTAACTAATGACTAACCACTCAAGATATAATCCATTTTCAAGTACCAAGAGCAGCCTTGTTAGATGAATTCGGGCTTTCTGTTCCTGCGGGCAGATCTGAAGGTGATAAGACTGTCCTGGGAGGTCTCCTGTGATCTTGGTTTGTGCCTGTGTGCTGACGTACAGCTCACATTGCAGTGTATTATAAACCTGCTGGAAAGGCCTTTGACTAGGTCTATCCTGATTCCTCAGTGGCTGCGAATGAGGCTGCAGAAGTCGGGCTGATCCCATGATTCCAGGAACACCGCTGCCTGTGTGCATAGAAATGTTGCCGGTAAACACAAAGGATCAGAGGAGGGTGTTTCAGAGCAGTCTGTCCTTGAATTACAACAAGCATCCATAATGCATACTCAAGAGCTCTCTCTCTGCATCTCCCCACCTAGCATTTATTTAATAAAGAAGCTCTACTTGTTTTTAGAAGTTCTCTTATTCCCTACTTAGTATTCCATTTAGGGGAATAGTTCTTAGAACATAGCCTTGATGTGAAGGGTGAAACTTGAGTTAATAAAGTGCAAATACAAGGGAAAAATGTTAGGCTGCAATTTCTAAAACCAGAGTTCATGGGGCATAAATTCATCTCAGACACCGCGTGATCAAAACAGCCAGTTTGGTCTGAAAACCAGTTCCGCATGTTCAACCTAGGTCCTCTGCTGCTGTGTACAATCTTTCAGAGAGAGAAAAGCGTCCAGAAGTGGGGTGTCAAGTTCTTAGTTTCCTTAAGCCAAAAACCTCCTGCAATTTTTCTAAATATTTGTTTAACCCTGTTTAAGTTTATTCATCCTTTTGAAAAGGCACCAAGTAAATTTATGAAACAATTTCATTGTATAGCTGGTACTGAAGAAATTAGAGGAATTTTTTTCATAGTATTTCATAGGAGGAAAGAACACTTTCAGGCATCGTGATTGTACAAATATGATCTTTCACATGTCAGTTTTATTAGAGTTGACAGTAAAGTTAAGACCAAGTTTTTCGGATTTGTGGAAATGTTGAAGGGATTTGTGTAAAGTTGCTATGCACTCGTTATGTTGGGGGCTGGTGGTTAATTTTTACACCTGGCTACTCATGCCAAATGCAGTTATGGTATGTGTTATTGGTCAGTATTTTCTAAACAATTTTAAGGGAACAACCCAATCATGCCCTTTACTCCATTTCTCCACTGAACCGCAGGGAGAGGGAGAGAGAGAGGGAAAAGAGAAGAGAGGTCTTCCTGTTTGTCACCATCACGACTGGGTAATTGTAGTTATCAACATACCTCCTGAGACAGTGGGCAAGGAGGAAAATCAGACCTTCTGCCATATGCCAGGCTACTTCTCATCCACTCTTCTCGTGAAAATCAGCTTTGGGAATTCATTCTCGAATGAGGGTGGGAGGGAATTGCCGGAGTTAGATTATATGGCAAACAGTGGACTGTGATATCACTTGGAAGGTGAAACCACTGTTGCTTACTTTCAGGATCTAGCTTTATGGGGCCACAACTTGACAAGTGCCTTTTTAAAAAGCGAGGCTCATTTGGGGCAACTAGGTGGCTCAGTGGTTAAGCCTCTGCCTTCTGCTCAGGTCATGATCTCAGGGTCCTGGGATTGAGCCCCACATCGGGCTCTCTGCTCAGCAGGGAGCCTGCTACCCCCCTCCACCCCCGGCCTGCCTCTCTGACTACTTGTGATCTCTGTAAAATAAATAAATAAAAACAATCTTTAAAATAAGTGAGGTTCATTTTACTTGGATTTTGAAGTCTGCTTCCTTCGTGAGTAACTGAAGGAAGCTCTGTTCCTGCCTAAGAGCTTTTTTTTTTTTATTCTTCCCCCACTCCTGTGCTCACCAGTGACTGCTAAATATAAGGACCTTAGGAGATAAAAGAAGCTACTGAGGATTATTGAATGCCTGAAACACACAAAAACCCAGAGTAGAGCTAAACAGTGTAGATGATCGTTTGAGGATGGCAGTTCTCAAGCAGGTGAAAATGGTTTAACCAGAAATGTTGCTCATCATGTAAATGAATCACAGATGATTTATGTTACCAACTTTTTTGTAAATTACCCCTTCCCCTCCTCAGTTGTGGGGCCTCCAATAGGACGGATAAAACATTCTTTTCTTAGTGTGGTAAAATACACATAGTATAAAATGTATCATTTTAACTATTTTTAAGTGTGTAATACAGTGTCATTAAGTACATTCACATTGTGGCCCAACCATTATCCCCCAGGAGCTTTTTCATCTTCCCAAGCTGACAGTATGCACCTGGCAAACAATCCCCCCACCTCCACTTCCTCCCCTCCCCCTCTTCCATTAGCCCCTGACAACTACCGTTTTCCTCTGTGTCTGTGAATCTGACTCTTCCAGATCCCTCCAGTAAGTGGAAACAAAGCATTTGTCCTTATGTGACTGGTTTCTTTTTTCACTTAGCATAGTGTTTTCAAGGTTCATCCATATTGTAGCAGGTGTCAGAATGTCTTTTCTTTTAAGGGCTGAATAGTGTCCCGTTGTTGGCGTTCGCCATATTTTGTTGATGCACTCAGCGAGCGATGGAGTTTGTGTTGCTTTTGCCTCCTGGCTCTTGTGATTCGTGCTGCTATGAAAGTGAATGCACAAGTGAATGCACGGATAGAGTTTTCCTGCTTTCAGGGGTTTTGGGTACATGCTCAGAAGTGGAATTCCTGGATTGTCTGGTAATTCATTGCTAAAGTTCTTGAGCAACAGTCATACTGTTTTCCACAGCGGCTGTACCATTTTGTATTCCCACTGTGTTACCAACATTTTTCTTCAGTGGTTTGGAATAATGCTCTCTAGACCTACAGCTTTCTTCAAGTTCTGTGTGGTTGGAGAAAGGTATGCTTTCCCTTCAGTTTATTTGAACATAAGGGAAAGATTGTGAGATGACAAGAACAAACGGGCTTTGCTAATAACTCCGTAAGCTTCAAGCAGAAGTTCCTCCCTTTGCACCTTCATTTCTCATTCTAACCGGTGTGTGCACACACTTCCCGGAGCTACAGTTACAGCACAGAAATACCTACATTCTGGCTCACTTACTCTTTGTTTCTTCACAATGTTTATGTTTATAGATGAGAACAGACTGCGTTTTGTGTGAAAACACTATGTAACCACTATATTTGATAGTTGCCATTTCTTTTAAGTATGTTTAAATAATGTTGCCATTGACATCTTCACAGAACTTTGTTTCTCTTGAATGATTTCCTGATTTGCATTAGGACAAATTCTCAGAAGTAGAGGAGACCGCGACTCGTTTAACACTTTTCTAAGGGAGATTCATCTTCCTTGCAACCTTAACATTTGACTTCCCAGAGATGTATTTATATCTTAAAAATTATATATGTTGTTAAAATAACATTTTGTCATTCAACAAATTTTAAGGACTTAATCTTATTATCAGCCCAATAAAAAAACCAATTTTTTGCTGTACTATAGAGGAAACCTGAACATCTTAGAAGCTGTCATTCAAAATATTTGTATATATTGGGACACCTGGGTGGCTCAGTGGGTTAAGCCTCTGCCTTTGGCTCAGGTCATGATCTCAGGGTCCTGGGATCGAGCCCCACCTCGGGCTCTCTGCTCAGCAGGGAGCTGCTTCCCCTCTCTCTCCGCCTGCCTCTCTGCCTACTTGTGATCTCTCTCTCTCTGTCAAGTAAATAAATAAAATCTTTTAAAAAGTGTATATAAGTGAAAACGCTTTTTTCCCCTTCATTAACTCTGAGAACTTTCTGAATAGGATATTTAACCTTTTCTAAACATATGTACCCACTTGGAAGAAGAGAGCCCAATCCCTCTGCCGATATCTTTACTGAGGATTTGTATGTCATTACATCAACCATATGTGCACAGAACCTATTAGTTAGTACATAGCTTTTTGATAGTACTGTGAAAGAAAAAAGAATTTAAAATGTATATTCTGCCCTGGAAAAGATAAGAATGCCAAAGAAAAGTTTGTCAAGACAAGAAGTAGCTAATCAATATCTCAATACTCAAAGCATTGTGCAGCCCACCATGGACCAAAGAAGCCATTCGTGGACCAAAGAAGTCAGCAGCCATTCGTGGACCAAAGAAGTCAGCAGGCGCAGGGTGAAAAAGCAATTCCATGTGACAATGAATGTGAGATTAAATATGTAGTGAAGAAATTAATACACAGTTCTAATTTTTGTCATTCAGAATCAAGAGGTGAAAGTAGCAAAAGCTGCTCCGCTATTTGATGCCACTTCCTCTCTCAACTTCAAAGGTAAGTGGTGACCTCTGACCTTTGCTCTGTAGACATGATGTCATTACCCTTTGCTCTTCTTCCAGCTAGTCACATTTTGGTGAAGAAGGGAACGACTCAGCTAAATTTATCCCAGGACAGCGCTCTAAAATCTTGAGAGACCAAATGTACTGTAAGGCGAATTTTTAGGATTTCTTTAGGCTATGTTCATGGGTACAGATGTTCTTTGAATGACCTTTTCACTAAATCAGGGCTGATAGAGAAAGCTATATGTAGAGACTTACCCTGAGTTGGTTCAGTTGTGCAAAATCTAATTAAATTGAATTCTTGAAGTGAAGTGTATACCTGGGAGTTTCTGCTCAGAGTGGGAAGGGCTGTCTCCAAGGAGGTACCTGATCTTCTTGGGGTGCCTTTCTACACATTCTTTTGCACTAACACATCTTCTGTTTTGATACTTCTATTGACTAAGCTCACGCCTACTTCTCGTCACCCACGGAGAAACTCTATAGTGAAGTGATTACTTTGACTTTGGACTTCATTACCCCCAGTTAAGTCTGTTTTGTCTCCTCTTTGAACATTTCATGTGTACAGAAGTCCTGTTGGGTGAATGAACTAAATAGCTTTTCTCCGAAGGACTAAGTTAGGGGTGACAACAACAGTTTGAATACCTCAAAAGGGTTTAATTTTTTTTTTTAAAAAAGCATGGCTTACTATGCTAGTATGCAATATTATTTTCATACAGGTGTACTTGAGACCAGATTTTAAAAAAATATCTGTTGTAACAATAACCATAATCTAATCAGCATGTCCATCAGTGTGCCTGCATTCTCCAGAGTCTTCTAGGATCTCCTCTTGATCCAAGTCTCAGGGCCAGACACAGAGGGAAAAGCTTGCCGACGTTTTTTCTCTACAATTCAGTCTTCAGCAGCTTGAGAGCTTTCTTCATGTTGTCGAGCACTAACAGGGAAAAAGTTGCCAAGGTCATGATGTCGCCAGAGTTATACCGATAGCTCTAGTAAACCCCTAAACTTGGGTACTTTATTCATTATTGAATGGGGCACTATTTCATGATAGGGTGTATTGTTGGTAATTTTGTCAAACATTTTTTTCTAAAAGTATGTGACATGGCTTTTACTACAATCCAGTTTTCTCCCAATATTTCTCACATGTCTTTTCTACAAAGCGCGTGATATTACCTGTGCCAGATACGTGCTTTTAAGGAGCTCAAAGTCTTATTTCTTATTAAGACTGGCCATTATCTCGAGAAGGGCTAGTACTTGGAATGTGCTTCCCTGGTCCTCCCCGCACCCACCAGAGGCATTTCTAATGGACCATGAACATCTTTGCTGCTGCCCAGATACAGCCTCTAGTCTTCCCCAGCACACTGTTTGAGGTCGCGCCACTCAACAGGTATTTTTGTGATGAACAAAAATATTCAGTGCCTGTGCATTGAGAACTTAAACAGTGGTTAGTGTGCCTGCTGACTTGAATTTTAAATTTTAATTAATGTGATGTTAAAGAGCTACATGGAGCTCATGGCTCACATATTGGGCAGTACAGTTCCAGGCAGCCCTAGTCACTGAGCTGAATTGGTTCTTAGGACAGACCCAATTGTTTTCCCAGAAGGACTCATTAGTGACCACAACAGGAACAGTCTCCTATTGAGGTGCTCTGTCTGCTCTGAGTTAAACTTTTTTCCTTTCCATTTTATGGCAACTCCGAGGATAGTGAGTATCTTGCCAACTCCTGGGAACCATCTTTCCTACTGATCTTTAAAATTGAACTTAAACTCAGCAGCACCAAATGGACCATATCATTTTACTTTCATTATTTGGAAAAAATATTGAAGGCCTGAAGATTCCTATTACTCGTATAATAGGACAGTTACTGTATTGCACTTGATTCTGTCATAGGACTCTTTATGACAGGGTGCCTGAGGAACCCTTGAGAAGCACGTAATATGGCTATAGAATCCTCCCAGAGAAAAAGATACCCAATCAAAAGACTCTTTCATAAATTATTCACTTAAATAAATGAGACCAAAGTGAATATGATTTGCCTGAGGGCACAAGGCTAGTTAGGGTCACACTGATTCTCTGCATGTCTGAGCCCAGCTTCCTCCCTCCTCAACATGTAAGTGGACTGTAAGTGCAACAGCAAGACACGTTCACAGGAGGTGACACTTACATAGAGCTGTATCTGAAGGTTCATAAGCGTAGAGACGATTTGAGTATCTTCCAGTGATGTCAGCTCTAACTGTCAGGGATGGGTCTACAATGAAAAAGCAAATGGGAATGGAATCAATGTTTCCAAGGAAGCTCTGTTGCGCGAGGAAGCCCACGTACTTGTCCATGGCCAATGAGAGGAACACAGCATGTGATCCCCCTCATGAAGGTCTAGTTCATCTACTTGGCAACCCAGCCTGTGGCTGCCAGTCCCCAAAGCAGGGCCCAGAGCCCCCGACAGCTGCACAATGCTATTTGTAGCCAAGGTTATGAACCCTGCTATTCTATCTATAGCAACCTGAAAACAGAAGAAGACATACTGGCAGGGGAATGTTGGGTGCTTTGGTGAAAACCCTGGCATTCTATACTAAGGCATTTTGAACTTTTGAAATGCTTATGTTGTAATCACAGCCTGTTACCAGGAGCAACCTAGCTAATTAGAAACTGACTTCCAATGCTAGTTCTCGAAATAAAGGGTTGTTTTTAATGAATAAAATAATGCAAACCATTAATGGCAGCAAAGTTCAAATAAGCACGTAGGGCCCCTCTCTGTTTTTTACTTTTTTGTGATCTAGCTGTATTTAAAAAACAAAGATTTAGGAGTCTTCCTTTATGCATACCTATGATAGTCCTTAGAGTTTTAAATCCATTTTTCCATGTTTTATATTTATTTTGAAGTTATCCACTCATGGGAAAAGAAGGCATTTTTAAAATAAGGCATATCGACAAGGGAGGTACTAGGATTTACGCAGGCCTAGAAACCTCTTGTCAGAGGTTTGAAAAGGCCGAAAGAGCATGTCCTGAAAATCAGATGGAGGAGGCACGTGAGACCCAGTTGGCTGTGTGCACAGTCTGGCCCTGGTACTTAAGCGGATGATCTGTCATTTCAGAATGTTGGAATGGGTCCCACTGATGTTAATGACAAGAAGCAGACATTTATTTGTTCAACAAAGACTTAAAACCTATTATACTTCTGCTAGTGCAGAGGATACAAACACACGGTCTACTCTTTGTGATAAATTAACATAAGAAAAGCTTTTGAAACACCCAACCCTAGACTCACAAAGCTGCCCCCCTGAACCACCTGAAGAGCTTCAAGGAATACCTCCTGCCTCCCATTCCCGGCAGGATTCTGATTTAATTGGTTTGAGCTGTGGCCCAGCAGCTGGTTTTTCTAAAATCTTCCAGGTGATTCTAATCTGTAGCCGGTGTCCATGCTCCTGAGCTGTAGTTGGTTCTTTTGGAAGGCATGGAATGTGGGTTACAATGCCCTTAGACAGGAATAAATACTATAAAAAGAACTCTAGCACAAAGTGTCACAAGATGACCCATAAAGTCCCAATTTAAACGTTCTAGATTTTCTAAATCCTCACATAACTGAGTGTATAAAATTAGCTCGAGTTCAGCCTTCCTGCTTTACACTCCTTCACGTGTTCCTCTCCCCTGTCCTGTGCATTTAGTGTGGACTTGGCTGGATCCCAGCCCCGAACCACTTGATCAGTGCGAGTTCTGCCGTGTGATGGATTTATTTATGCGTTGTCCTTAAATCAGTATGACTTGGCTCAAAGCCAATCTGAATTCATGTGTCCAGTCATTTAACAAATATTTATTGCCAGCCTACAAGAGCGTCATGCTGAAAATATGATGGTCAGAAGAAACCCACACAACCCCAGCCACAAAGAGCTGTAGTCCTACAGGGTAAAATAGATACTAAACAATCACCCCCGGGATGCCTGAGTGGCTCAGTGGGTTAAGCCATTGCCTTCAGCTCAGATCATGATCCTAGGGTCCTGGGATGGAGTCCCACATCAGGCTTCTTGCTCAGTGGGGAGCCTGCTTCTCTCTCTGCCTCTGCCTGCCACTCTGCCTGCTTCTGCACGATCTCTCTCTCTGACAAATAAATAAATAAAATCTTAAACAAACAAACAAACACAATCACCCCATAAATGCAAAATTATAACTGAGGGAAGAATGACTGCTGAGAGGAGCATGGTGCCACATGGGCACATAGTGTTAGTTGTGCCAGGTCAGTGAGCGACTGTGATGACTAGGTGCATGGGGGAAGCAGGAAAAGCTTTCCAGCAGAGGGAACAGGATGTGAAAAGTACCAGCAGCTGGAAGGAGCATGGCTCCTCTGATTTCTTTTCTGGCAGTCATATTCCTAACTTGCCCAGAAATAATTACCAAAAAATGTCAGAAAGAAAAATCCAGCATACCAATTGGAAGTTCGCCTAATGAAAAAGAAGAATTTACCAGCCTGATGTTCGCAGGAAAACAGGCAATACATTTAAAAGTTAGCAGGGTGCTTCCCTCTCCGATATACTTTTGATGGGACATGATAAGTTTACATGTGCAGATGAGAAACAAATGAGGAAATAGGTAGAAGCTTGAACTTTGTAATGAAGAAATGTTGAGAAACGTAAGGGAATGTTACACTCCTTGCTAGGGTGGGCCAGTGACATTGGCCATGATAGAGTGGCAGATGAGGGAGGGGGGCTCTGAGGAAGAGATAGCAAAGTGCTTGGGCAATTATCAGTGTGCTTAATCTCATTGTCATTTTTTTTTTAAAGATTTTATTTATTTATTTGACAGAGAACACAAGTAGGCAAAGAGGCAGGCAAAGAAAGAGGAGGAAGCAGGCTCCCCGCTGAGCAGAGAGCCCAATGCGGGGCTAGATCCCAGGACCCCGGGATCATGACCCAAGCCGAAGGCAGAGGCTTTAACCCACTGAGCCACCCAGGCGCCCCTCATTGTCATTTTTACTTACCAATAAACATGATCCTGGGGACATATTGGCCATCAGGAGAAAGGTGTTTGTCAGTTGTTTCATACTAAGATTAAAAGAAAAGACAGTTTTAGCTTGTCTGTTCTTCAGGTACTGTCAAACTTGTTAATACAGAAATGTGTCTTCTACTGGGGGAGGCGTCTTGAGATACTGTAAGGCATCTCTCTTCCCCAGAGAGTTGATAATACAGATGAGGAGGTGAGTTACACACATGAAATAATAAATAAGATAGAGCCAAATGCAATGCGGAACCTGAGGTAGAGAGCTGAAGGAACATGATAAAGAGCAAAAAAATTCAAGAAGGGAGAATATAAAGGGAGTTCCAGTATGTGGGGAAGACATCTTGGATGAGAGAGGGGGAAATAGAGTAGTGAAAAAAACAGGTCAGTTTTGGAAAATTACAGAAACAAACAGGCTTGTCTGTGGCACTCATCTTTAAGGAACACCGGTCAGCTGAGAGACACAGGTAGGAAAATGAATACCGAGGATCCACTTGGTGTGGTATTGTGGAGGCCGTGCAGGTGCGGTGGGTGACCAAAGCAGGGCATTTAACCCTGTATGCAAGGTGGGCTAAGACTTAGGGAGGGAGAAGTGTTAAAAAAAAATAAATAGGATGGGACACCTGGATGGCTCAGTTGGTTGAGCGGCTGCCTTTGGCTCAGGTCATGATCCCAGTGTCCTGGGATTGAGTCCTGCATTGGGCTCCTCGCTCCACAGGGAGACTGTTCTCCCTCTGCCTCTGCCTGCCACTCTGCCTGACGGTGCTCTCTCTCACTCTAACAAATAAATAAAATTAAAAATAAATAAATGAGTAGGAGTCAGGTACATGGAACACAAGGTTACTCCAGGCAGTGGGAAGAGTTTGTCCAAAGGTAGAGGGAAGGCACAGCACTTTCTGGTAGGACTGTGTGTTTTGGGAGGATTGAAATACAGAGGACACAGGAGGCAGTGGTGAGAGAAGATGCTAGAGAGCTCCTTTGGGGTTGGCTCATGAGAGGTCTTGCACACCATGCCAGTTTTTGCCTGTGTTCATAAATAGATCAGAACCCCTGGAGGGATTTAGAAGTACCATGATCCCAGTTTGGTTTTGAGAGTCATTATCCTGAAGGCTATGTGGGATTAGCTAGGATTTATTTTGTAGGCAGGGAGCCATTTAGTAATACTGTAGTGACCTAGGCAGAGGGAGAAATCCTTACACTAAACAGTGGTCCTCACTTTATAGGGAAGTGACCTACAGCGAAAATATTTAGAAGTTAGAACGACAGGGTTTCTTGACTGCTGGAGGGGAGTAAGAGTGGAATCTCGAATGAAACTTTCAGTGAAACACGGACTAATGAAAGAAGAGCTGTGGAAAATCCCGCACCAAGCTGATAAATTCAGCACTGAGCACGTTGAGTTTAAGCTAATAATGCAAAATGTGGACGATGATCGCACACACAAGTTGGAAATTGTTGCGTGTTTGGGTAAGATTTGGCAATTACCAGTGCACGGGCATTGATTAAAGGCAGATGTAGATGAAGTTGTCCACAAAGAATATAAAACATTAAATAGAATATAAAATATTAGGAAGAGAAGCGGGCAGAGATTCACCAAGTCACTAATATTAAAAGGTAGAAAGAGGAGGAGAAGCCTCTGGAAGGAGGGTGAGGAAGAACGACTGATGTGAATGTTCTTTGAAGAAGCCAGATTTGTCAGCTTGCGAAGAGGGAGGGAGGGAGAGAGAGGGAGTGATAAGGAGAGTGAAAGGAGCTGGTGGGAAGGGGGAGGGAGGGCGGGAGAGGACCTAGGGTAGGGAGAGTGGTTTTGTGAGTTGTTTATTGTTACTTGTTTCCCTTTGGAAGGAAGGTGGAACTGTTTGCATCTGAAGAGAAAGACCTTGCGGACCGAAAGCTTGGCCAACAGAGAGGGTGTTGATGGCAAAGTAAGGTGGGAATGAGTGCTTTAGACAGCTGGGGACCTGTCACTCTCCAGGAGAGAAGAGCTGAGAACTAAGAAGGGGGGCAGAGCATCAGGACTGCAGGGAAGAGGGCACAGGAAGAGATCTGCACAGAGAGCCTTGCATTTTTACAGTAACAGAGAAAATCCTGACCACAAGAACGTATTTTTCAGACAGCCTGAAATTGTTAATTACTGAATAAAAACACAGCCATGCAAGATAGATTATGAGTAAAATATCTCTTTTTTTTTCTCTGTCATCTGTGAAATGAGCTCTCTGGAACAGCCCCCAGTCAGTGCAGTATGACTAACATGCATAGGAAACCTGAATCATCCATTTCACATAATGAGCCACGGAGAAATGTCTGTGATGACGAAAACTGAACTTACAACTAGATTGAGGAGGACAAACTGCTCTGCCAATTTCTGGATTTCTTTATTTTCAGCAAACACTTTCTTTAAAGCTAGAATAGACCAAAGAATCAGTAAATATCCATCTCATCGCTGGTTGAAACCATTGATCTCTGTTATATCTTAAGCTGGACTGTATTTTCAGTATAATATCCAACTTTGCTTTTTTAGCAAACAATTAGTGAAGTAATATCTAGGCCACTCGCTACCTTTGATGCTTGCCATTCACTCATTCATTCATTCATCCATTCATTCATTCATCCATTTTTTTCCCCAACCTATATTTATTGCTTGTCATGCGGTACAAACTGTTTTATGGAAAAAAAAAAAAAAAGAAGAAGAAGAAGAAGAAAGAAAAGTAATATGTTGTCTTCCTAGAGCTCAAATGCTTCTGTGGGAAACAGACCAAAAATAAATAAACAAATACATTATCTAATAACTTCAGTTGGAGATATGTACTTCGAAGAAAAATAAAGCAAGGCAAGAGGTTTAAGAACTCTAGACTGTTCAAGGCAGAGCTCTCCCAGGAGGTGACATCAAAGGAGAAAATGAGCCATTCGAAGATTTTGGGGTTCTGTCATGCTGGGCAGAGGAGGCCGCAAGAGCAGTGGCCTGGAGGCAGGAATGAGCTTAGAGGAAAACTGCACAAAGGCCAGGCTAGAGGGAGTAGAGAAAACACAAGGGCAGAATAGGAAGGAAAGCAAAGATAGCCAGGGGCCAGATTATGTCCAGCCTTGTAGGCCATGATCAGGAATTCAGATTTCGTTTACTTGTGATAAGAAGCCACTTGAACACATGAGCGAAAGGGTCTGATTTATGTTTAACAGCCTCAGTCTGGCTTCAGTGTGGAGAGCTGAGTATGGGCTGATTAGTTAGGTGGCTGATACAGTATTCTAGACCAGATGGAATCTTGGCTTGGATCAGGGCAGTAGAAAGGAGTCAGTAAGAAGTGGCTGGATTCGGGCAGGACCTGCACGATACATGGATCCCAGGACAAAACACAATTATGGGGTGTCTGGGTGGCTCAGTGGGTTAAACCCTCTGCTTTCAGCTCAGATCATGATCCCAGGGTCCTGGGATCAAGTCCTACATGGGGCTTTCTGCTCAGCAGGAAGTCTGCTTCCCTCTCTCTCTCTCTGCCTGCCTCTCTGCCTACTTGTGATCTCTGTCAAATGAATAAATAAAATCTTAAAAAAAAAACCCCACAATTATGGAGCCCCTTATTAAAAAATTCTACAAATTTTAAGACAACAACAACCAGAGATTTAAATCCAGCACAGAAAACTTCCAGGCCTCCCGCCTTGTGTGAATGCACAGTTTGCACATCCTTCAAGCTGGGGCTGGCTTCTGGGTATATTTGGGAGGTAAAGCAGTGGTGTTTGCTGATGTAGTAGATATGGGTTACAAGAGAAAGCAAGAAGTCAGGATGAATCCTAGAGTTTGCTTTTTTTTTTTCCCCTTCAAAATGCACCAGTGGTTAGCACAAAGTATGGAAATATTTGAAGTTACTTTAAAATATGTTTTTCTTACATGAAGATAACTGTTTTATTTAACTGTGCCAGGCGCTAAGGATAAAAAGATGAGTGACCTGAGCCTTGTCCCTAAAGCTAAAAGCCGATAAAGGAAATTATATTTAGAAGAATAAATTACCTTGACTGTGTGGACATTCATCCAAGTGATGAATAATCATTATGGGTTTGTTGCTGTAAGAGACAAAGAAAGATTGGGTCATTTTTAACGAGCAAGATTTCTTGTATAGCGACGTGCCACTAGAGGGTGCTCTTGTGAGCTTGGAGAGAACTCTGTAACCTGTATCTTTACCTTGTCTTGGATTTGTACAAAGCTTCTTCATAAGTCTGAGTCCAGATGAGTTGATCACCCCAACCTAGAGCAAAAGGAACGGGTGTATTTAAAACTATTATAATTTCTGACTAAAGCTGTTGAAAAGCAGTGGTAAAGCCTGGAATAAATATATACTGAATACCAATCAGATGCAAAACCCTCTAAAGAAAGTCGAAACAATGATCAACTTTGATAAATTTAGTTCAAAACTATTTTTTGGCACCCAAGCCTCAGGTTCTCAATGAAGGCACTGAAAGCTGACCGGAAGCGGACTCCTACCTCTGGAGAGGGTCTGGGGCAGTTTGGGTCCAGAGTCCTTGGTGTCTTTCTTAGCTCCTGATTTGGCTGTGATATCTTTGGCCAGAGTGGAAGAGAGGGCGACAAGGAGCAGGAATGCTGACACCGAGATCTTCTCCATGGCAAATCTGATATGGAAAACAAGGAAAATGACAGTGAAACAAAAGGGAATTAAGAGCCTTCTCAGTCTTCAGACTGTATCATGACCCTGGGATACAAAGGAACTGACGTTTAGCTGAGACAGAAAACATGCAGCTGGTGTGAAAAACTCCCTTCCACAGACCTTTCCTAAGAATGCTAGTGTGAGTATCTATCTACTTTTGGATCCATCAACATATACAGACCCACGTAGATATAAATATAGTGAGGGAGCTCTCCATAGAAACCTACAGTATAGAAATAGGTATATAGATGTATTTTAGGAAAATAGATGTATACACTCTTACATTCAAGGGAATTTACATTTAAATTTTATATTTTAAAAATTTTACCACTGGAAGGCACCTTGGGGCTGCCTCCTCCATTCCCACTCCCCACACCTCATTTTATAGATGAAGAGTCTGAAATTCAGGGAGATGAAGCCTCATGAGATGGGTAGAGAACCAAGTCCTCTGCATCTTGCCATTTTGCAGCGCTGGCTCCTGTTTTCCCCATCCTTGAAACAATCACCCTCAACATACGTACTTCTTTAGCCTTCTGTGAAAATGGGGCCGTTGCCATTAAAGAATAAGATCTAAGTAAAGAATCCTTATATAACTCAAAGCTGCCAACTTTGTCACATAACTGAAAACTTAGGCCCAACTAACTCTCTCCCTCATGTAACATTCACTCAAATTCCATTTATTAGTTCTGAGGTGACAAAAATATGTCCACGCAATTTTATTCTATTGAAACAATTCTTTGACTCTCTCCATGGGCCTGTATCAGTAGGTGATGGTGGGCATGGGTTTTGGGCACAAAAATATTCTATGGGGCTTATAAGACAGAGAAACCAACCCCTGTGTGTCTCCTTGTTAAATATTTTTTTTCCCTTCCAGTATTTCAGTTAATTCTTCAGGAACGTTACACCACTACAAAGCAGATGCCCATAAACAGGAAAGGGAAAGGTTAGTTAAGGTCGATGAGTGAGCGAGGGAGTTGCTAACTAGTTAAGAGAGAGTTGCACTAGCAGATCACTACAGTTACCCATCGCGTGCACGATTAGAGGTGGGATTCCAGGAAAGACAAAGACTGAACTCGCTTCACAAAATCCTCACTAACATGGGTGTAGGCCTCAGCAAAGTGCAAAGGAAGCAGGATGGACTATCAATGCTTGGTATTTTCAAGGTGGGAAAGCTTCTCACGTTCTGATAGCTTGAGTGGGAATTTTTGCTGAGCGTTTGCTCTTTTTTTAAAAAAAGTGTTTGAAGCTACCAAATTCCGATGATGCCTTGGCTTCACCTGACCAATTATCATCTATCCCAGTCATACTATGTGGCCACAAAATGTCTTACTCGAAAGAAGACCTAAACAAAAAGCAAAGATACACTTGCTTCATTTTCTACTCGGATAAGAATGTGTACTATAGGTCAGCAATTCCCAGCCTTCTTAGTACAAAGACTTCTTTTTCATATAGAAGAGAAACACACACACACACACACACACACACACACACACACGCCAGGAACTTTGATGTGAGCCTAATTGTACTTTCAAAATATGAGTTGATTCAGAAACCTATGACCTATAACCTATAACTGGCAAATAACTCCTTGGAATTTATCAACAAACATTTGCTTTTGTCTTTTATATATAGCAATAGCCTCTCTTTATGTTAGGAAAAAATCGTGACTCGGGGGTGAAACATTTGATCTGTGCTGCTCCTGGAGGGTTCTTGCGGCGTGCTCCCTTGTCACAGTCCTGTTGCTCAGCGGTTGGAAGATGCACTTAATGCCTGTGTTTCTGCAGGATGACTCACTGAAGCCTATGGTCGCTCCTGCTGTATAAACACATTGCTGTGGCCTCACTTTCTGAGATTCATTCTATTGGGTTCTCATAGTAAGTAGACTCTGCTCTGCAAGGGTCCTGCCCGAACCACCTCAAAACAGAACGCTAACTGGGAGAGAGAGAATTTGGATGCACACGTGTGTGCGCGTGCACACACACTCTATGGAACCAGCCCTTTTTACTGGTCACTGTACGTCTGTCTTCTTATCTTTAGCAGGGAATGAACCTGCAGAAGGTTTCAGTGTCCCTGCTCATAAATGCTTCCAGAAAGCAGCCAGATCTCTCCTCTTAGATCCCATGCCGTGAATTTCAAGACTGCAAATGCAACAAGAATATCTTCACGGCAGATGGAGAGACAGAACTGTGTTTCCTGAGGTGCAGTGATAATCGTGAAATGCAGTTCCCAGCGGGCAGTCCGAGCTGAGGTTTGCCAGGCCCATGAGTCTGTGCTCCAGCCGTGGGTGAGAGGCAGAGAATTAGATGTGACCAGTGCACAGTAGCAGAGGACGCTGGGTCCTGTCCCAGGCCTGAACGCCGTTAGAGCTCACCCGACCCTAAACCCCTTGTTTCTAGAGGGAGAAAGCATTACCTTGAAACAGCTCAGGAATGCAGCCCTCTACCAGCTCTGCCCAAAGAGAGGCCCCAGTAAGCCTTGGATGAAAAGTCCATTATTCCCCGTCCAAGTCCCTGGGAACTCTCTCCTTGAATTCCTGCAACTTTACGACGTAATCAGAGTGAGAGCCCTGCAGGACAGTCTTGTCAGGAGTCTTACCTGGTTTCCCCACCCACCTGTCAGTGTGAGCCAGCGGCCTCTGTGCTGTCCGAGCCTCCTGGTGTGCTGGCTCCCTTTGAGCTTCTATTTATGTGTGGCGCACACCTCAATCCCACCCACTGATCCCGTATTTACATGTTGCAAACCCAGAAAGGAACTTTCCTTTTCCCCAGCGATGATCTTCCCTGGGCTAAAGAGTTCCATGTTTTTAAAAATAACAGTGCAAAGGATATGTTTTTCAGTATGCATATTTTTATCTGTTTGTGAAAGTATATTGTGAAGAGATTTGGAAAAGATGGGCAGAGTGCCAAATCCAGGTAAACTTTAAATGAAGACATTTGATTTGCCTGAAGGCTGATTTGTCTTTACATGATTGGATGGAGTGTGTGGTTTGTAGATTTTTTTCCCCCTCCCCCTTGGGCAGATTGCCTTTACGTAGTTGAGAACACACAAGAGATGATTCACAATTCTTAACTCCGCCAGTCTTTGACCTGCTACCCTCCATTGTAGTACACATTATTTTCCACCCTACACTTCCTCTTCCTGGCAAACAAAATGTATATTCACAATGGCAGTGAAGAAATTACAAATCAAGTAATCACAAAGTATTTCAAAGTTGAGGAAGTTACTGAAAAAACCCTAATACTATGGGTTTTTATTAATTACACTGTAGTTGAATCTATGCAGCAATTTCACTCAGAAAAGTTCAAAAGTAATTCACAGGTATTCTCTCATTTAACTGCAAACTTTCCTGTGAGGCATGCAGAAAGCCATTTACCTCATTTTTCAGACCTAGAAACTAAGGTCTGCAACTAGTTTTTTTCACTCAAGATTACACAGTCATTCACTAAAGATTTTTAGACTGTCTTTTTTTTTTAAGATTTTATTTATTTCTTTGACAGATAGAGATCACAAGTAGGCAGAGGCAGGCAGAGAGAGAGAGAGAGAGAGAGAGAGAGAAGGAAGCAGGCTCCCTGCTGAGCAGAGAGCCCGATGCGGGACTCGATTCCAGGACTCTGGGATCATGACCAGAGCTGAAGGCAGAGGCTTAACCCACTGAGCCACCCAGGCGCCCAAGACTGATTTCCTATAAAAAATTTCAATCCTGAGTTTTGTTGATGAAGCCATATACAATCCTTAAAGCTCAGAATGGGTAAGTCTTTAGCAATAGAAAATTAACTAATGAGATACAAACCCTATAAAATAACTTTTTAAGATGGGTTAAGATCATAATATTTCAAAACATTTTCAAGTGTATATATATTTTTATAAAGCCAAAATTCCCATGGGCAAAATAGTGATTCCCCAAATACTGAACTTTCTTTCACTTCTGAGTTTACAGAGGTAATTTCTTCAGAAGTTTGACTGAAGACTGGTTCGCTCAGTCGGTTGAGCTTCTGACTCTTGCTTTCTGCTCAGGTCTTGAACTCGGGGCTGTGGGATGAGCCCTACGCGGGACTGCACACTCAGCAGGGGTCTGCTGGTGATTCTCTCTCTCCCTCTCCCTCTGTCTGTGCACGAGCACTTTCTCTCTCAAGTCATTAAATAAATCTTAAACAAAAAACAGTTTTGGAAGACAGTGATTTGAGCTAAACTTTAAAACTGGGAAGGCTTATGTGAGCCCTTAGTCTATTCAGCCTGTAGAATATTCAACTCAACCTCCTCAACTGTGCAGAGAAAAAAACAAAGATGATAAAAAGTTATGACTCCGAGGGTCCCCACAACTCCTTTAGGGCATTGCTGGGACCAAAGCCCAGGGGTCCTCTAGTCCATCACCTGCTCAGAGTAGCAAGTAGGCAGGATTTGGGACCACAAGATTTCAGTCTGAATCCTGCATCCTGGTGCGTGCTCACAGGATAAGCAGAGATGCCATTTAACTTCCCTGAAACTTCAGTTTCCTTTTCTATAAAAAGGGGTTACTGTTACCATATATAATTGTTTTGACTACTAAACGGGATTTGAATGAATTAAGAAATGAGAAAGTACCTGGTGTGTTAGTTTGCTAGATGAGCTGGAACACAGTTCCACAGAGTGGGCGGCTTAGACAACAGAAATTCATTTTCTCAGTTTTGGATACCAGAAGACTGAGATCAAGATGTTGGCAAATTTGATTTCTTGTGAGGCCTCTCCTTGGCTCCTCGATGCCATCTTCTTCCTACATATTCACCTGGCCTTTCTTCTGTGCCAGTGTCCTAATTTGTTCTTATAAGGACACCAGTCATCTTGGATTAGGGCCCATCCTAATGACTTATTTTACCTTACTTACATCTCTAAAGACCCTGTCTCCAAATATGGCCATATTCTGAGGTACTGGGTATTATGATTTTAACATGTGAATTTTGAGGGGAGAACTCAGACCATACACTTGGTAATTGAAAACATCTTGCATTTGTTATAATTAATTATAATGGTATCATAATTATTCAACTGTATTCCTGTGCCTGATCTTGTGCCATTAGTATTTGTCATAGTGACCAAAGTATGACAGGGAGAAAGTAATTATTAGAACATACCTTACACACGTCATGACTGTGGTATCCTCAGCATACGTATCTGTCTTGGTGTGAAGCAATGAGGGTTTTGTAGATGGTACCAGTTTTTCTTTTATATTTCATTACTTTAAACAGTGATATCATGTAATCAGTCTTCCAGATTTGCCAAATAGTGTAAAAATCTATTGTTCATAAATTACTTTATCTTATTTTAAAAATAGACTCCACACCTAGCGTGCAGCCCAACATGGGGCTTGAAATCATGACTCTGAAATCAAGACCTGAGCTGAGATCTAGCAGCAAACGCTTAACTGACTAAGCCACCCAGGTGCCCCAATAAATAAACATTTTGATTCCCCAAGTAGGATTTGATAATGTGATATATAAGATAATGTTTGGCAAGTGAAACTACACATAGGACCAGTGACCCTAACAATAAGTTATTTAAGTGCATGCTATACATTTGTGTTTTATGCATTTATGTTATCATACTTTTGGAGGCTTTTACTTAAGCATGTTTTAAAGTAGATTATTTTCTATTTTTTAGCAGAATTTGGAGAATTACAACAATAACTAGCAATTACTGAAATCAGTAGACACTGGGCATGTGACTATATTACTTCATGTATTTACACATTATTTTGTTTCTTCACCAAATAGTCACTGAACCTATTCGTGTAGCAAATAGCATGCCAGACACTAAAGATAGAAAGGTGAATAAGAAATGGTCAATTATTGAGGTAGTCAGACATATACATAGAAAATTGTCATTCAGGGCAGTAAACCATGGCATGGAACACCCAAAGAAGTTGAAGACATTGTCGCTGTCCTAAGGTTACGCACAATCTGATTGAAAAATGAAGATAGAAACTCACTGAAAATTAACCATCCATGTGCGAATTTCATCCAATAAGGGACAAGTAATTGATATAGACATTAGCTGTTGTTATTTTAAAGAGAAGGTAGAGATTTCTATCCACTACAATGGTTACAGTGGTAGTGGAAAGCAAGATTTCCAGATGGAGAAAATGAAGATTTTGCAAAATATGTTTGTTGGATATTTTTTGTTTGTTTGTTTATTTGTTGGATATTTAATGGGATGAGGGTATTAGAGTGAGATCTCTCTGGGTAGTTCATAGACAATAGGTTCAGAAAGGTGTTTTGAGGCTATGAGCCTGTATCCTCAGATGTCACTATAAGGAGTTGAGATTTCACCCTTAAGAGGGAGTATCCTGCAGTGGTAAACAGGGCCATTTGTAGATTTAGAGTGATTTGGGTTCAAATCCAGGTTTATGATTACGACATTCTCTACTAAATCCTGCAGATCACTTAAACTTTCTGTACTTAGTCATCTCACTTGAAAGTGAAGATAGATAGCATGACCTGCTTTTCTTTTTTTTGCTGTTTTTTAAAAAAAATTTTATTTTTTCAGTGTTCCAAGATTCATTGTTTATGAACCACAGCCAGTCCTCCATGCAATATGTGCCCTCCTTAATACCCACCACCAGGCTCACCCCTCCTCCGCCCCCCTCCCCTCCAAACCCCTCAGTTTGTTTCTCAGAGTCCACAGTCTCTCATGCTTCTTCTCCCCCTCTGATTTCCCCCATCTCACTTCTCTTCTCCATCTCCCAATGTTCTCCATGTTATTCCTATGCTCCACAAGTAAGTGAAACCATATGATAATTGACTTTCTCTGCTTGACTTATTTCACTCAGCATAATCTCTTCCAGTCCTGTCCATGTTGATACAAAAGTTGGATATTCATCCTTTTTGATGACTGTGTAATATTCCATTGTATTTATGGACCATATCTTCTTTATCCACTCATCTGTTGAAGGGCATCTTGACTCTTTTCACAGTTTGGTGATTGTGGCCATTGCTGCTATAAACATTGGGGTACAGATGGCCCTTATTTTCACTATATCTTTATCTTTGGGGTAAATACCTAGTAGTGTAATTGCAGGGTCATAGGGTAGCTCTATATTTAATTTTTTGAGGAATCTCCACACTGTTTTCCAAAGTGGCTGCACCAACTTGCATTCCCACCAACAGTGTAAGAAGGTTCCCCTTTTTCTACAACCTCTCCAACACTTGTTGTTTACTGTCTTGTTAATTTTGGCCATTCTAACTGGTGTAAGGTGGTATCTCAATGTGATTTTGATTTGAATCTCCCTGATGGCTAACAATGATGAACATTTGTTCATGTGTCTATTAGCCATTTGTCCTCTTTGAAGAGGTGTCTATTCATGTCTTCTGCCCATTTTTTGACATGATTATCTGTTTTTTGAGTGTTGGGTTTGAGGAGTTCCTTATAGATCTTATAAACATTGTTGAAATGTTTATACTACCCAGAGCAATCTACACTTTCAATGCTATCCCAATCAAAATTCCACCAGCATTTTTCAAAATGCTAAAATTTGTATGGAACCAGACCCCGAATCACTAAGGAAATGTTGAAAAAGAAAAACAAAGCTGGGGGCATCACATTGCCTGATTTCAAGCTTTACTACAAAGCTGTGATCACCAAGACAGCATGGTACTGGCACAAAAACAGACATG